TTGGGAGAGGGGTTGAGAAAACGTTGCCCTGTTTGGTAGAGGGTATTGGAATAACGTTAGCCCTGTTTGTAGATGGGATGGGAAATAACGTTAGCCCTGTTGGTGAGGGATTGGATAAAAACGTCGCCCCGTTTGGTAGAGGGGATTGGAAACGGTTATCCCTGTTTGGTAGAGGGGATTGGAATAACTTAGCCTGTTTGGTCGAGGGGATTGGAATAACGTTCAGCCCTGTTTGGTGAGGGGTTGGAGATAACTTGTCCCCCTGTTTTTTGGTAGAGGGGATTGGAATAACGTTAGCCCGTTATGGTAGAGGGATATGAATAACGTTAGCCCTGTTTTGGTAGAGGGTATTGGGAATAACGTTATGCCCTGTTTTTGGTAGAGGGGATTGGAATAACGTTAGCGCCTGTTTGGGTAGAGGGGATTGGAAGTAACTTAGGCCCTGTTTTGGTATAGGGATTGGAATAACGTAGCCCCCTGTTTTGGGTAGAGGGGATTGTAAAATAACGTTAGCGCCTGTTTGGTAGAGGGTATTGGAATAACGTTAGCCTCTGTTTTGGTAGAGGGTGATTGGATAACGTTAGCCCTTTTGGTATGGGATTGGAATAAAACGTTGCCTGTTTGGTATGTGGATTGGAAATAACGTTAGCCCTTTTGGTAGAGGGGAAATTGGAATAACGTTAGCCCTGTTTGTATAGGGGATTGGAATAAACGTTACCCTTTTGGTAGAGGGGATTGGATACCGTTAGCCCCGGTTTGGTCGATGGATTGGAATACAAACGTTAGCCCCTGTTTGGTAGGATGGGGATTGATAAAACCGTTAGCCCTGTTTGGTAGAGGGGTTGGAATAACCCGTTAGCGCCCCGGTTTGGTAGAGTGCTTGGAATACCGTTGCCCCGTTTGGTAAGGGGATTGGAATAACGGTAGCCGTTTGGTAGAGGTGGATTGGAATAACGTTAGCCCTGTTTGGTAGAGGGGATTGGAATACCGTTAGCCCTGTTTGGTAGAGGGGATTGGAATAACGTTAGCCCTGTTTGGTAGAGGGGATTGGAATAACGTTAGCCCTGTTTGGTAGAGGGGATTGGAATAACGTTAGCCCTGTTTGGTAGAGGGGATTGGAATAACGTTAGCCCTGTTTGGTAGAGGGGATTGTGTCTCTGTGCAGAGGATTTAGCCTAGGAGCACGTGGTTGGATAAGAAAAGGAGATTATTACGTAACTGTGTGTGAACGTATGAAGCTGCCATAGCCGCTAAACTCTGCACAACAACTTTCACAATGAAGAGATCCGAGGCTTTATTCCAGAATGTTGGAAGCAGATAAATACAGGAATTCCGTTCTGATTTGGTTGGATTATTCTACTTGGCTAAAATAAAGCTGAGCAAGATGTCAATCTCAACAAATATCAACATCAAACGGTTCAGCAACAGTTAAAAACGTTATTCTAACTATTAGTAATTGCATAGCTACTTAGTAGTTAACACTTACCACTGCGGAGTCAACTACTGATCTCACGGATAACTTCCAATTCGCAAAACCCAGTTCCGCTATCGGTATAATCAAATGTCACCTTGACTGACACTTTGTAAATTGATCACGGGAATATTGCTGCTTGAAGATATTGGGTGTGGAAGGGGTCGCTTGTCGATAGTTGTTGTACTGAACCCTTTAGTTACGAATGCGAGCTCAGTAATGTTGCAATTTGTGCTGGGTTTCCACTAGATGCCACAGCCACAAAGTCAAAACGGTCTATATTGTAACAATTCATGAAAACAAAAAAATAGCTGTTTGGTCTCAATTTAGGGTTAGGAATAAGGTTAGCAGTGGCGTTAACGTTAGGTTTAAAATCACATTTGAAGAAGATAAATTGTAGAAATAGGCGGGGTTTATGACTTTGTGGCTGTGGTAACTAGTGGCGACCCTTGTACAAATTGGGCGAAAAAAAGTCTTCCGGGGTGTGCGTCGCAACCGGGTGGCGTACAGCCAACCAGCGAGTGAGACGTCACGGTGGTTAGATCGGGGATGGGGCAGGGTTTAAAAAAAAAGATCAACATTACAGCGTTGTCACTGTGAGCTCAGGTGGAACTAAGATGTTTCTTTTCCAAATGGACTCTATCCCCTCTATAGACTCTGGTCTAAAGTAGTGCACTACGTAGGGGACCGGGGTGCCATTTGGGACGTATTAGTATCACCGGAAATTGCTTTTATATGACCGTGACAAATAGGACATTACCTGATTAAGGTTGGATTTGAGAAGAGGAAAGAGAGTTAACCTTGTTCACACAAGATCTCTTATCTATAGACGGACACCCACCCACTCACACAGACAGACAGACAGACAGACTGACAGGGGAGTCAGACAGACAGACGACCAGGAAGCTGTTGTATTACTGTTTATTTGTAGTTTTATAAGGTAAAAAGTGCATAGTTGAAGCCCTTTCTTGCTCTCTGCTAGACTAATACTGGTAAATACAGTGTTATTAGAGGCCTCCAATGGCACCACACAAGGGTGCTCCCCAAATGGTACTCTATTCCCTATACAGTGCACTACTGCGGACTACAGACCTACTTTAGTTTTTGACATACTGGTCGACGTAGTGCACTACACTATATATATATATATAGGGAATAGGGTGCCATTTGGGACATATTTCTGGGCCCAGAGTTTTTTCCTGATCGCATGATAACCTGACAGGGAAAAAAAACCCAGCTCCTAGGACTCGATTCAATCTGTAGCGCTGAAGACCTGAAGATCTGAAGATCTGTAGCGCTGAAGACCTGTGGCGCTGAAGACCTGAAGATCTGAAGATCTGTAGCGCTGAAGACCTGAAGATCTGCGCTACACCGTGATAGAAATGTAAAAGGTAATGTTCCTGCGTTGGCGGAGATTCCATTCACGGTAAACGCTGGCGGAGATTCCATTCACGGTAAACGCTGCACATGTATGTCGGCTCGATCAGAAATTACCTTTACATTTCAAATTGTGCTCCAGCGCTGATCTTCAGACAGAAAGGTAACAAACGCAGTAACTAAAAGTGCCATTATAAGTAACATAAGTAATGTTGGAGTAATTTTAAGCTACAGATTAGGATAATATATATATATATACACACACGTCTATATATCCAATTTTCTTTCTACTATTCAACCATTAGAGTACATAACAAACCCCCGTAAAGATAAAAATAACTTTAGTAACTGTTTGACTTTCAATGTTTTAGATTAGAATAACCAAACCTTTTTGACCCTCTGAGGCCTCTGTAGCTGAACTGTTAAAACTGGTGTTAACCCTTTCTTGCTTACAGCAAGAGAACAGGTTCCATTCTCTTCTATGGGCTCCATCTTAAACACACACCCAATTCACTATTTACACCACCACCTAAGACCACCACCTTAGACCTCTACCTTAGACCACTACCTTAGACCACCACCTTAGACCACCACCATAGACCTCTACCTTACACCACCGCCTTAGACCACTACCTTAGACCACTACCTTAGACCACCACCTTAGACCACTACCTTAGACCACTACCTTAGACCACCACCTTAGACCACCACCTTAGACCACTACCTTAGACCACCACCTTAGACCACTACCTTAGACCACCACCTTAGACCACCACCTTAGACCACTACCTTAGACCACCGCCTTAGACCACCACCTTAGACCACTACCTTAGACCACCGCCTTAGACCACCGCCTTAGACCACCACCTTAGACCACTACCTTAGACCACCACCTTAGACCACCACCTTAGACCACTACCATAGACCACTACCTTAGACCACCACCTTAGACCACCACCTTAGACCACTACCTTAGACCACTACCTTAGACCACCACCTTAGACCACTACCTTAGACCACTACCTTAGACCACCACCTTAGACCACTACCTTAGACCACTACCTTAGACCACTACCTTAGACCACTACCTTAGACCACCACCTTAGCAGTGCTTATTAACGCCTAGATGAAGACACGTGAGAACACGTAGCAAAGCAACATGCTAGTACACATCTCTCACACTACGCCTCAAAGCAGAGGCGACAAGCGTCCCAAATCACACCCTATTCCCTATATAGTGCACTACTGTTCGCCAGATCCCTGGTCAAAAGTAGTGCACTATTTTAGGTAATAAGGTTTCTTTTTCTGGGAGAAGACACGAGTTGACGGTCCCTCTTCCCAACGCCTAACAGAGAGAGAGTGGGGGGGGGTTAATATAAAATAGTTTTTTTCAAAATGGCGTATGGGCTTCAAAACGGAGGCAGGTGGCTTAGTGGTTAAGAGCGTTGTGCCAGTAACCGAAAGGTCGCTGGTTCTAATCCCCGAGCCGACCAGGTGAAAAATCTGTCGATGTGCCCCTTGAGCAAGGCACTTAACCCTAATTGCTCCTGTAAGTCGCTCTGGATAAGAGCGGTCTGCTAAATGACTAAAAATTTAAAATGTAAAACAGACAGAGGAACAGCCAGACCAATCAATAAACCAGATTACTAGTGACTAGCTAGTTGATCATAACTAAATAATGTCTTGCATCCCAAACTGCACCCCCATTATTATAGTGCACTAATTCTGCCCAGAGCCCCTTTGGTAATGCACTAGAAAGGCCATTTGAGATGCACCCAGTGATGCCCCCAGTATAGAATAAAAACCACAGTATAAAAGGCTGATCCAGTCTGCATGCCCCCCCCCCCCCCCCCCCGAGGCTGATCCAGTCTGCATGCCCCCCCCGAGGCTGATCCAGTCTGCATGCCCCCCCCCCCCCCCCCCGAGGCTGATCCAGTCTGCATGCCCCCCCCCCCCCCCTCCGAGCTGATCCAGTCTGCATGCCCCCCCCCCCCCCCCCCCCCCCTCCGAGTTAGAATAGTAGATTACACAAAGTGCCATTTCGACATTTGGGTCGCAAATCAGCAGTCCCTCTCTTGTTATGTTAGCCACTTATGGATGTGGGTTGGCAGATCCGCCAGCAACTGCGGCCCCTCATGATGAGGTCAGATGTTTTGTGGCCCCCCCCCCCCCCGCCCCCATATAGTGCACTACCCCACAGGGCTCTGGTCAAAAGTAGTGCACTATATAGGGAAATAAGTTGTGATGTACAGGGGTCAGAGGTCGACGTATAACGCAAGAAACGTCACGGTGGAGATATGGTGGGTTTGTCCAGTAAGAACGTCTGTTCTCCTCCGGAGGGAGAGAGACAGAGAGGAGAGAGGGAGAGGGAGATAGAGAGAGAGAGACAGAGGGAGAGAGAGAGAACATGAGTTTACAGATCATGTTGGTTATGTCCTTATAGACCAGACAAACAGACGGAGACAGTGAGACAGACAGACAGACACAGACGGAGAGACAGACAGATCTTGTGGTTTCCAGTGAATCATTCCATTCCAATGAGCTAATGATACTCGTCCGGCAGCTCTCGCCCTCTTCTGGTCAGGCCAGGAAATACAGGTGGTGGCAAAATAACTTCCACATTGGCAAGGAACACAAAACTGGAACTTCCACATTGGCAAGGAACACAAAACTGGAACTTCCACATTGGCAAGGAACACAAAACTGGAACTTCCACATTGGCAAGGAACACAAAACTGGAACTTCCACATTGGCAAGGAACACAAAACTGGAACTTCCACATTGGCAAGGAACACAAAACTGGAACTTCCACATTGGCAAGGAAAAGGGTGTGTCATTTTAACATTAAAATGTCATCCAAAAAGTTATACTTTTGAATTATCTGTCCATAGAACATTCTACCAAGAGTCTTGATGATCTTCCAGGTGCTTTTTGACAAACTTGAGTCAACTTTTTGGACGAGATGGGTCCCATTATGTCTGGCGAAAACCAAACTCTGCATTCCACAGTAAGAACATCATACTAACGGTCAAGCATGGTGGTGGTGGTGTGATGGTTTGGGGATGCTTTGCTGCCTCAGGACCTGGACGACTTGCCTTAATAGAAGGAACCATGAATTCTGCTCTGTATCAGAGAACTCTACAGGAGAATGTCAGACCATCCGTCTGTGAGCTGAAGCTGAAGCGCAGCTGGGTCATGCAGCAAGACAATGATCCAAAACACACAATCAAGTCTACATGAAAATTATTAAAAAGCAACAGATTTCTAGTTTTGGAATGGCCTAGTCAAAGTCCAGACCTAATCCCAATTGAGATGTTGTGGCAGGACTTGAAACGAGCAGTTCATGCTTGAAAACCCACAAATGTTGCTGAGTTAAAGTAGTTATGCATGCAAAAGTGGGCCAAAATTCCTCCACAGCGATGTGAGAGACTGATCAACAACTACAGGAAGCATTTGGTTGGAGTCATTGCAGCTAAAGGTGGCACAACCAGTTATTGAGTGTAAGGGGGGAAATTACTTTTTCACACAGGGGAATTGGGTGTTGCATAACTTTGTTAATGAAATAAATAAAATAAGTATACATTTTTGTTTGTTACTTATAAACTCAGGTTCCCTTGATCTAATAAAAGGTTTTGATCTGATAACATTCAGGATCAGAAATACGCAAAAAATAGAGAAAATCAGAAAGGGGGCAAATCCTTTTTCACGGCCCTGTAGGTCTGTATCTATATGTAGTTTATAACTCAACATTGGTCTGTATCTATATGTAGTTTATAGCTCAACATAGGTCTGTATCTATATGTAGTTTATAACTCAACATAGGTCTGTATCTATATGTAGTTTATAGCTCAACATAGGTCTGTATCTATATGTAGTTTATAACTCAACATAGGTCTGTATCTATATGTAGTTTATAGCTCAACATAGGTCTGTATCTATATGTAGTTTATAACTCAACATAGGTCTGTATCTATATGTAGTTTATAACTCAACATAGGTCTGTATCTATATGTAGTTTATAACTCAACATAGGTCTGTATCTATATGTAGTTTATAGCTCAACATAGGTCTGTATCTATATGTAGTTTATAGCTCAACATAGGTCTGTATCTATATGTAGTTTATAACTCAACATAGGTCTGTATCTATATGTAGTTTATAACTCAACATAGGTCTGTATCTATATGTAGTTTATAACTCAACATAGGTCTGTATCTATATGTAGTTTATAACTCAACATTGGTCTGTATCTATATGTAGTTTATAACTCAACATAGGTCTGTATCTATATGTAGTTTATAACTCAACATAGGTCTGTATCTATATGTAGTTTATAACTCAACATAGATCTGTATCTATATGTAGTTTATAACTCAACATTGGTCTGTATCTATATGTAGTTTATAACTCAACATTGGTCTGTATCTATATGTAGTTTATAACTCAACATTGGTCTGTATCTATATGTAGTTTATAACTCAACATAGGTCTGTATCTATATGTTCATTAAAATAAGATATCAGACAGGGAGTAAAGGACTGAGCTGTGGTTTAGGTCTGTTGGCAAATGAGGAAATGCTCATGGTTGTGCTGGACCAATGACAGCTGGCCACATATGACACACCTGTACACAGGGACCAATGAGATGGCCTAGCTGGCTAGAGCACATTCTAAACAGATTTACACCCCGCCTCCCGGCATTCTATTGTTGCAACATTCTAGTCACTACTTTGAAGCACAGAGATAAGAGAGAGAGAGAGACACACACCATCTGTGTGTCTGTCTGTCTGTCTGTCTGTCTGTCTGTCTGTCTGTCTGTCGGTCTGCAGGAACCAGGAAATCCTGCTGGAGGAGAGAGACCGACAGCAGGAACCAGGAAATCCTGCTGGAGGAGAGAGACAGACAGCAGGAACCAGGATATCCTGCTGGAGGAGAGAGACAGACAGCAGGAACCAGGATATGCTGCTGGAGGAGAGAGACAGACAGCAGGAACCAGGATATGCTGCTGGCTCAGAGCCTCCACAGTCCCACACACTGTTCTCCTCCCTCCTCTCTCTCTGTTCCTCTCCTTCACCCTCTCTCTGTTCCTCTCCTTCACCCTCTCTCTGTGCCTCTCCTTCACTCTTCCTCTCCTTCACTCTCTTTCTATTTCTCCTCTCTCCCTCAATTCAATTTCAATTTCAATTCAATTTTAGGGCTTTATTGTCATGGGAAACGTATGTTAACATTGCCAAAGCAAGTGAAGTAGATAAATAAAAGTGAAATAAACAATAAAAATTAACAGTAAACATTACAAAAGAATAAAGACATTTCAAATGTCACGTTATGTCTATATACAGTGTTGTAACGATGTGCAAATCTCTCTCTCTCTCTCCCTCCCCCTCTTCCCATTCACCTATCTCCGTCTCCCCCTCTCTTTCTGTCCAATAACCTCTCCTTCCACCTGAAGTGTACATTCATTCACTACCCCCCCATCCATCAGGGTGAGAGAGAGTAAGCACGGTCTTAATAAGATGGAGTAAGTTAGTAACACACGACTATTTACACAGAGGAAGTACTTCCACCACAACCACGGAGACATCTTTGACTGATACACAAATGGAATCTCTCTCCGTCACTCACACACACTCTTACCAGGTTGATGAGTCGTCTCATGGTATGCTCCTGGGAGCAGATGCACACACAGGGGTCAAAGCCTCCCTCCGCCATTACGATCACCTGACACACACACACACACACACACACACACACACACACACACACACACACACACACACACACACACACACACACACACACACACACACACACACACACACACACACACACACACACACACACACACACACACACACACACACACACACACACACACACACACACACACCAGGGATGAGAACACACACACACCTGGGACACAATAACATATTAAACTAACTGCTTCTTAAAAGAACCAGTATTCCCCAGTCCACAGAGAGAAAACATTCACTCTGCTGATACCAACTGGGTCTAAATGAAATCGCCCCAAGTCCACAGAGAGAAAACATTCACTCTGCCGATACCAACTGGGTCTAAATGAAATCGCCCCAAGTCCACAGAGAGAAAACATTCACTCTGCTGATACCAACTGGGTCTAAATGAATCGCCCTATTGCCTATTTAGTGCACTACTTTTGACCAGGCCCACTTGCTACCTGTGCCATAAAAGGCCGGACCTCTTGGCAGAGGCAGTAGCTCAGAGTTGGCTACAGCTAAAGGACAACTTGAATGTTTACTTGGACGTTGTGTAACTATTTACACCGCCACTGATGTGGTTCTCATTCATTTTGCCAAATGACATGCGATGAGGGAAATGGTTTACAGTTTAAACAAACTGCACCCTGGACCCCTTTTTATTTGTGCTAAATGATCGGTACCTAGTTACCTAGCTAGTTAAGTACACATCGCCACCCTAGAGGCAAAGCAGAGACAAATCTAATGAGTAGTGGCCATGTAGTTGCGAGGTTAAAATTGTGAAATTGCAGAAAGTCTCTTCTGTGAGACAAAAAAATGCAATGTTAGGTGCTTAGCCTGTTCGCTAACGTCACTGTAGCCCTTCATCATGACTCTCAGTTCCATTACATAAAGAGTTATTTGACAAAAAGCGTCTTCTGTAGGGGGGGTTGTTTTGTTAAGAGCCGCGACTCTCGGGTCTGAACATTTAACAGGCATCGCTTGCGCTACGGTTTTGGAAGCATAAGACCTTATCTTTCATATAGGCTGGAAATAATTTTCACAAAAAAAACTAAAAAGGCTACATTGATACACATCTTTATAGGGTCAGGGTTCCCACACTGCCAGAAAACAGACAGACGACAGAGTGGACTTCCTGTGCTAATTAACAACTGATTCTCCGAACACCTGTGTGAAAAAACGGAAGACAGACGCCACAAACATGTCACTGAAAAAACACTGTGTGTATTTTTTGCATTTGTGGAAAATATTTTTGATGCGATATGAAAGAAAAGGGATTTATGTTCCTAGAACCGCATCTTTAGTTCAATATTGGGCTAACGTAACTGTAGCTAGCTAGCTAGCTAGCAGCTGGTCTCTGGGTGTGCATGTCCAAGGCTGACAAAGTCCTCCTGTCTTGTATTATTGCACAATAATAAACGGAACAAACTCGTCCTGTAGAGATATTTAGTAAATGAGTGGCAGAATTGCTAAGATAACTGCATAAACCAGTAACATTATTCGATAACTGGTTAGATGGCGCTATGTATTTCAAAAAACGTTTGTTTACTTTAATGTAGCTGTAAGCTAAGTGTTGATAGCGACTGGCTGACTCACGCAGTGCTAACAGCTGGTAGGGCTAACATTAGCAGGCTATAGTTGGCTAGCAAGATATGCAAGCTGATTTTGTAACCATACATTCATAAAGTATTTGCTTGTAAACTGGCTGAAAATTCAATTGAAACCAGTAGTCATGAGCGCAAAGGATTTGGTTTAATTTGAAGTTACACATTTTAAGTTATTTTTGATGGTGTTTACACTATATGGAATAGTGTTATATATTCCCACGGGGGGGCCAGTATGAAAAAAAAAATATATATATATATATATATATATGTATTCACTCACTAACTGTAAGTTGCTCTGGATAAGAGCGTCTGCTAAATGAACTAACATGAATAGGCTGGCTTGCCGGGTCCTCCATATTACGTCACACCCCGCAAATCTTTTTTTTCCGGTATGACTTCGGAACTCTGATCCGTTTTATGTAATTACTCGAAAAATAGAAAAGTGAGGTGTAACTTTGCATTGGGACTTTTGATCCATATTCTAATGCAAATCCATGCTACATGTCGTTACGTTTATGCTACCTACCCTACAGATTCAGTACTTTACCCCACCTCTGCCAGCTAGCTAGCAACAATGAAACATTTGGGTCTGCTGTGTTATTGAAGGGACAGGGAGACGACACTTACCTGAACAGCTTTAGAATCCAGTTAATTTATTTTTCTTGTTGTTATCGTTCCCGGCCGTAGACGCGTCTAGCAGAAAGCCACAGCTGCCCAAACCTCTTTTCATCTGCACGGCAGAATATTTTCAGGGGGGACTAAAACGGGAGGGACTACCTAAATCGGTCCAATAGAAACTGTCGTTTTAGTTGCAGAACGGATAGCCTGATGATAACACCCGGTGCTCTGCCCGTCTGTGGTTTGAGACAGGACGTCACGTCACGGACATCACGCGAGATCTCCGAGTTAGACAGGAGATCTCGTGTTTTTTTGGTCGTTACTAAGTTGCCACAGCCACAAAGTCATAAATCCCGCTTATTTCTACAATTTCTCTTTTTTTAAATTGTATTTTAAACCTTAACTACACTGCTAACCTTATGCATAACCCTAAATGAAGACCAAAAAGATATTGTTTGTTTTCATCATTTTTAAAAATTATATAACCAATTTTGACTTTGTGGCTGTGGTAACGTGGAAACCTTAGTTTTTTTTTCCCAACTCAGCGTTTCAACCGTCTCAGGCCTCCGATTGGTTTAGAGGTCCAGCGGGATCTCATTTCAGCCAATCAAAGTCAGGAGCGAGTTATACGCGATGATTTACGGAAAGTAAACAAACCATACAGGGTCAATCAATCACCCAGGTGACAGATTGAGTATTTAATGAAGGATACAAATGATGAAGAATAACAGGACGCGTTAGGTGTACAACAAAATCAACATCCGGTGATTAACTCAGCAGTCTCTTTCCCCAATGCCTCAGAAAAGTCTGCTCGTGTGACTTCATGTTCGAGTGAACGATAGAAAAAATAAAAATGCTTTCTTTACCCTGAATAGAGTCCATCCATGTTGAAGGAAGGGGGACAGATATGTCTGGAAAATGTGTCACATAGGTCGAGCCCTTTTTCAGCAGATCATAACAACAGGGAAGATGCTGGGGATGTCACCTCTCATGGTGGTTCCCTATCGACCATAGTCAATCTATTATACAGATAGCACAGACAATGAGAATTAGTGACAACAATGCACTGTGCGTGTGTCAGAGAGAGAGAATTTCCTAAACTGTGTGCGGCTACAATGTATCAATTGTGGTTGACAAGGCCCAATATAACCTTCGTAGTTATATTAATGTTACATATGATTAGTGTTATATATTATTTACAGTGACGTGTGAGAAAGTTATGTATTCACACCTCATTCCATCATATTATCACATGACTCAAAGCAGAGGAACAGCAGTGGTTGACAAAAACCAAACATTTCTCTTTCTAGCTATTGCCACAAACCGAAACGTTTTCTAGTAGTTCTGTGGCAACAGTGTTTTATATTTCCACACTCAGGTCTGTGCGCACCCAATTTGACGGTCGCAATCGCCATTTATTTTCAAGAAAGGGGTGCTGTGTTTTTGAAGAAGGGGAAAGAAAGAAAGGAGAGTGAACGAAACCCGACGAGACAGAGCAAAGGAGGGGGATTGAGAGTCGGGAACAGAAGAAGCTATCCACACGGCGACCGGAGTGGACCGAGGGCCCCGAACCAGGTGTTAATATCCCCGCTTACAGGAAGGAGGGAGACGGCAGAGCCATGGCGAATATAGCGGTCCAAAGGATCAAACGGGAGTTCAAAGAAGTTCTGAAAAGCGAAGAGGTTTGATAAATATCCCGTATGACTATTTACGGTTGCTTATGGCAAATAGTTATGCTTTTTTTAACCGGGTTAAATTGAAATTGTGGTTGTTTATTTTGCAAGTTGTCACGCAAGGTATTGTCAGCTAGCTAACGTTAGCCAGTCTGCGTTTCTTGATGCAGCAAAAAAAAACCGAGGCCCCTATCAGGGGAACTTTTATCGGTGATTGTGCGACAGTATGCCCGGTGAGAGGTAAAAGGGTGTCGGCGACACAGATCAGGTAATATCGCGGAGTTAGCAAAGGGACAGGGCCTTGGGACAGATAGCCAAAACAAAAAGCCCTAACGCCAAACTTCCGAGTGTCAGCCCAAATAGTTGTCAAATGCTAAAAATAGTTTTTTTCTGTGTTGACAGTTTTTTTGTAGCTGACGTTAGCTAACTACCTGAGTTGGCAACTTGTCTTGTTAGCTAAGACAGAGTAGCTAGCTTGTTAGCTAGTTTGACAGCTGCCTAGGTGCATCCCTCTCACTATGTAATAACTAGCTAAGTGTCTTCGCTATGAAGACATTTAGGACGTTTTGGACCCTGTAGCTAGCTAGCTAGACTACTGTCAGTTCTTCTATAGCACATCATGAGAGACTTTAGCTTATTTAGCTAGCTAAATGAAATGTGGATCCCCCCATGTCCTATTTCAATATGAAAGGGAAGCACTGGGGCAAACAGTGGTCTACTACTACAACTGTTTGTTATGGTGTCTGGTGGATTATCAATGGATAAGGGTCAAGGGAACCACAATCTCTCTTCATCCATCCCTCTCTCTCTCTGACAGACAAGTAAAAACCAGATCAAGGTGGATCTGGTCGATGAAAACTTCACAGAGCTGAGAGGAGAGATAGCAGGACCACCCGACACGCCGTACGAAGGTGACACGCGCACACACACACACACACACACACACACACACACACACACACACACACACACACACACACACACAGGCCTATACTGATCATATATACACTGTTTTGTTTTCTCCCTTTTTAAGGTGGCAGATTTCAACTGGAAATCAAAATCCCAGAAACGTATCCCTTTAACCCTCCCAAGGTAAGAAACGCATCCCTTTAACAGTCCCAAGGTAAGAAACGCATCCCTTTAACAGTCCCAAGGTAAGAAACACATCCCTTTAACAGTCCCAAGGTAAGAAACACATCCCTTTAACAGTCCCAAGGTAAGAAACACATCCCTTTAACCCTCCCAAGGTAAGAAACACATCCCTTTAACAGTCCCAAGGTAAGAAACACATCCCTTTAACAGTCCCAAGGTAAGAAACGCATCCCTTTAACAGTCCCAAGGTAAGAAACGCATCCCTTTAACAGTCCCAAGGTAAGAAACGCATCCCTTTAACAGTCCCAAGGTAAGAAACACATCCCTTTAACAGTCCCAAGGTAAGAAACGCATCCCTTTAACAGTCCCAAGGCATGCAGGGCATTCTGACAACTCACATGGCCTTTTCAACCAGATAACACGTGGTCCTCTGTAGCTCAGCTGGTAGAGCACGGCACTTGTAACGCCAAGGTAGTGGGTTCGATCCCCGGGACCACCCATACACAAAAAATGTATGCACGCATGACTGTAAGTCGCTTTGGATAAAAGCGTCTGCTAAATGGGATATTATTATTATATTATTATAACCTTTATACCTGAAACAGAAGGGCTTTACTACACCACTATGGTGGTACCCTACTGTTTAACACACCCCTCTCTCTGTCCCCTCTCCCCAGGTGAGGTTCATCACTAAGATCTGGCACCCCAACATCAGCTCAGTAACAGGAGCCATCTGTCTGGATATCCTCAAAGACCAGTGGTGAGTCACACATATTTACATGCCTCCTCTCTCTCTCTCTCTTCCTGTCAATCTCTCGCTCCTCTCTCTCTCTCTTCCTGTCAATCTCTCGCTCCTCTCTCTCTCCCCCTCTCGCTCTCTCTCTCTCTCTCTCCCTGTCAATCTCTCGCTCCTCTCTCTCTCTCTTCCTGCCAATCTCTCGCTCCTCTCTCTCTCTCTCTTCCTGCCAATCTCTCCTCTCTCTCCTCTTCCTGCCAATCTCTCGCCCTCCCCTTAATCCTTCTGCTCTTCTTCGTCAATCTCTCGCTCTTCTCTCTCTCTTCTCTTCCTGTCAATATCTACCTGCATCCCTCTCCTGCAACTCTCCTCCTCTCTCTTCTCAGAAACTCGCTCCTTCTCTCTCCCATCACGTCAATCTCTCCTCTACCTCCTCCTCTCCTAGGTCATCTCTCCCTCTTCCCTTCTCTCTTCCTGATACATCTCGCTCCATCTCCTTCTCTCTCCTGTAATCTCTCTCTCCTGTCAATCCAGTCCTCTATCTCTATTCCTGTAATCCCCCCTTCTCTCTATATGTAATCTCTCGTCCTCTCTCTCTCTCTTCCTGCAATTCTCGCTCATCTCTTTTTCCTCAACTTCCTCCTCACCTTCAATCTCTCGCTACTCTGCTTTACCTGTCATTACACGCCCTCTCTTCTCTCCCTTCTCCTAAATCTTCCTCCTCATCTCGCTCTTCTGTCATCTCTCTCCTTCTCCTCTCTTCTGTCAATCTCGTCGCTCCTCTCTCTCTCTTCTCCTGTCAAGCTCTCGCTCCTCTCTTCTCTCTCTGTCAATCTTCCTCCTCTTCTTCCCTTTCTTCAATCTCGCTCCTCTCTCTCTTCTGTCAATCTCTCGCTCCTCTCTCTCTCTCTTCTTCCTGTCAATCTCTCCTCCTCTCCTCTCTCTCTTCCTTCAATTCTCCTGTCCTCTCTCCCTCTCTTCCTGTCAATCTCTCGCTCCTCTCTCCCTCTCTTCCTGTCAATCTCTCGCTCCTCTCTCTCTCTTCCTGTCAATCTCTCGCTCCTCTCTCTCTTCCTGTCAATCTCTCGTCTCTCTCCCTCTCTTCTGTCAATCTTTTCCCTCTCTCTCTCTCCTTCACTCTCTCTGTCTCTCTCTCTCTCTTCCTGTCAATCTCTCGCTCCTCTCTCTCTCTCTTCCAGGGCAGCAGCAACGACTGAGAACAGTACTGTTATCTCTCCTCACTAACTCCTCCCCCCCTTTCCCTCTAACTCCTCCTCTCTCCCTACCTGAGAACAGTACAGCTCCTCCCCTCTCTCTCTTTAACTCGTCTCCTCCTCTGTCTGTCCACCCCCCCAGGGCAGCAGCGATGACCCTGAGGACGGTGCTGTTGTCTCCCTCTCTCTTTAACTCGTCTCCTCCTCTGTCTGTCCACCCCCCAGGGCAGCAGCGATGACCCTGAGGACGGTGCTGTTGTCCCCCTCTCTCTTTAACTCGTCTCCTCCTCTGTCTGTCCACCCCCCCCAGGGCAGCAGCGATGACCCTGAGGACGGTGCTGTTGTCTCTCTCTCTCTCTAACTCGTCTCCTCCTCTGTCTGTCCACCCCCCAGGGCAGCAGCGATGACCCTGAGGACGGTGCTGTTGTCCCCTCTCTCTTTAACTCGTCTCCTCCTCTGTCTGTCCACCCCCCCAGGGCAGCAGCGATGACCCTAAGGACGGTGCTGTTGTCTCTCTCTCTCTCTAACTCGTCTCCTCCTCTGTCTGTCCACCCCCCAGGGCAGCAGCGATGACCCTAAGGACGGTGCTGTTGTCTCTCTCTCTCTTTAACTCGTCTCCTCCTCTGTCTGTCCATCCCCCAGGGCAGCAGCGATGACCCTGAGGACGGTGCTGTTGTCCCTCTCTCTTTAACTCGTCTCCTCCTCTGTCTGTCCACCCCCCCAGGGCAGCAGCGATGACCCTGAGGACGGTGCTGTTGTCCCTCTCTCTCTCTAACTCGTCTCCTCCTCTGTCTGTCCATCCCCCAGGGCAGCAGCGATGACCCTGAGGACGGTGCTGTTGTCTCTCCAGGCTCTTCTGGCAGCAGCTGAACCAGACGACCCACAGGATGCAGTAGTGGCCAACCAGGTACCCGTGTGTGTGAATCTGTCTTGGTGTGTCAGATCTTTATCAACTATGGAGTGTGACTGATGTGTCTGTCTGTCTGTCTGTCTGCTAGTGTCAAGTGTTTCCCTTTTTGATGGCCCCCGTGTAGCTCGGTTGGTAGAGCATGGCGTTTGTAACGCCAGGGTTGTGGGTTCGATTCCCACGGGGGGGGGGGCAGTGTGAAAATGTATGCACTCACTAAACTGTAAGTCGCTCTGGATAAGAGCGTCTGCTAAATGACGTAAATGTAAAATGTAATGCCATTCTGTATATGTGTATCTCCTTGATGCCATTCTGTATATGTGTTTCTCCTTGATGCCATTCTGTAGATGTTTCTCCTTGATGCCGTTCTGTATATGTGTTTCTCCTTGATGCCATTCTGTATATGTGTTTCTCCTTGATGCCATTCTGTATATGTGTTTCTCCTTGAAGCCATTCTGTATATGTGTTTCTCCTTGAAGCCATTCTGTATATGTGTTTCTCCTTGAAGCCATTCTGTATATGTGTTTCTCCTTGAAGCCGTTCTGTATATGTGTTTCTCCTTGATGCCATTCTGTATATGTGTTTCTCCTTGAAGCCATTCTGTATATGTGTTTCTCCTTGAAGTCATTCTGTATATGTGTTTCTCCTTGATGCCATTCTGTATATGTGTTTCTCCTTGAAGTCATTCTGTATATGTGTTTCTCCTTGATGCCATTCTGTATATCTGTTTCTCCTTGATGCCATTCTGTATATCTGTTTCTCCTTGATGCCATTCTGTATACGTGTTTCTCCTTGATGCCATTCTGTATATGTGTTTCTCCTTGATGCCATTCTGTATATGTGTTTCTCCTTGATGCCTTTCTGTATATGTGTTTCTCCTTGATGCCATTCTGTATATGTGTTTCTCCTTGAAGCCGTTCTGTAAATGTCTTTATTCCCATCCAGTATAAGCAGAACCCAGAGATGTTTACGCAGACAGCCCGGTTATGGGGTCATTACTACGGTGGAGCCCCTGTACCCGGTCCAGAATACACAAGGAAGATAGACAAACTCACTGCCATGGGCTTCGATAAGGTAGGGCAGACACACCATACACAGTCTGTCACGTGTGTTAACTCTGCTCTCTCTCCTGACAGAATGATGTGTGGTGTCTAACTCTCCTCTCTCTCTCCTGACAGAATGATGTGTGGTGTCTAACTCTCCTCTCTCTCTCCTGACAGAATGATGTGTGGTGTCTTAACTCGGCTCTCTCTCTCCTGACAGAATGATGTGTGGTGTCTTAACTCTCCTCTCTCTCTCCTGACAGAATGATGTGTGGTGTCTAACTCTCCTCTCTCTCTCCTGACAGAATGATGTGTGGTGTCTAACTCTCCTCTCTCTCTCCTGACAGAATGATGTGTGGTGTCTTACTCTGCTCTCTCTCCTGACAGAATGATGTGGTGTCTAACTCTGCTCTCTCTCTCTCCTGACAGAATGATGTGGTGTCTAACTCTGCTCTCTCTCTCTCCTGACAGAATGATGTGTGGTGTCTAACTCTGCTCTCTCTCTCCTGACAGAATGATGTGTGGTGTCTTAACTCTCCTCTCTCTCTCCTGACAGAATGATGTGTGGTGTCTTAACTCTGCTCTCCTCTCCTGACAGAATGATGTGTGGTGTCTTACTCTGCTCTCTCTCTCCTGACAGAATGATGTGTGGTGTCTTAACTCTCCTCTCTCTCTCCTGACAGAATGATGTGTGGTGTCTTAACTCTGCTCTCTCTCCTGACAGAATGATGTGTGGTGTCTTACTCTGCTCTCTCTCCTGACAGAATGATGTGTGGTGTCTTAACTCGGCTCTCTCTCTCTCCTGACAGAATGATGTGTGGTGTCTAACTCTCCTCTCTCTCTCCTGACAGAATGATGTGTGGTGTCTTAACTCGGCTCTCTCTCTCTCCTGACAGAATGATGTGTGGTGTCTAACTCTGCTCTCTCCTCTCCTGACAGAATGATGTGTGGTGTCTAACTCTGCTCTCTCTCTCCTGACAGAATGATGTGTGGTGTCTAACTCTCCTCTCTCTCTCCTGACAGAATGATGTGTGGTGTCTAACTCTCCTCTCTCTCTCCTGACAGAATGATGTGTGGTGTCTAACTCTCCTCTCTCTCTCCTGACAGAATGATGTGTGGTGTCTAACTCTCCTCTCTCTCTCCTGACAGAATGATGTGTGGTGTCTTAACTCGGCTCTCTCTCTCCTGACAGAATGATGTGTGGTGTCTAACTCTCCTCTCTCTCTCCTGACAGAATGATGTGTGGTGTCTTAACTCGGCTCTCTCTCTCCTGACAGAATGATGTGTGGTGTCTTACTCTGCTCTCTCTCCTGACAGAATGATGTGTGGTGTCTAACTCTCCTCTCTCTCTCCTGACAGAATGATGTGTGGTGTCTTAACTCTGCTCTCTCTCCTGACAGAATGATGTGTGGTGTCTAACTCTGCTCTCTCTCTCTCCTGACAGAATGATGTGTGGTGTCTAACTCTGCTCTCTCTCCTGACAGAATGATGTGTGGTGTCTAACTCTCCTCTCTCTCCTGACAGAATGATGTGTGGTGTCTTAACTCTGCTCTCTCTCTCCTGACAGAATGATGTGTGGTGTCTAACTCTCCTCTCTCTCTCCTGACAGAATGATGTGTGGTGTCTTAACTCGGCTCTCTCTCTCCTGACAGAATGATGTGTGGTGTCTTACTCTGCTCTCTCTCCTGACAGAATGATGTGTGGTGTCTAACTCTCCTCTCTCTCTCCTGACAGAATGATGTGTGGTGTCTTAACTCTGCTCTCTCTCCTGACAGAATGATGTGTGGTGTCTAACTCTGCTCTCTCTCTCTCCTGACAGAATGATGTGTGGTGTCTAACTCTGCTCTCTCTCCTGACAGAATGATGTGTGGTGTCTAACTCTCCTCTCTCTCCTGACAGAATGATGTGTGGTGTCTTAACTCTGCTCTCTCTCCTGACAGAATGATGTGTGGTGTCTAACTCTGCTCTCTCTCTCCTGACAGAATGATGTGTGGTGTCTAACTCTCCTCTCTCTCTCCTGACAGAATGATGTGTGGTGTCTAACTCTCCTCTCTCTCTCTCCTGACAGAATGATGTGTGGTGTCTAACTCTGCTCTCTCTCTCTCCTGACAGAATGATGTGTGGTGTCTAACTCCTCTATCTCTCCTCTCCTGACAGAATGCTGTGTGGTGTCTAACTCTCCTCTCTCTCCTGACAGAATGATGTGGTGGTGTCTTAACTCTGCTCTCTCTCCTGACAGAATGATGTGTGGTGTCTAACTCTGCTCTCTCTCTCTCCTGACAGAATGACTGTGTTTGGTTGTCTAACTCTGCCTCTCTCTCTCCTGACAGAAGATGGTGTGGGTGTCTAAATTGCTCTCTCTCTCTCCTGACAGAATGATGTGGTGTCTAACTCTGCTCTCTCTCCTGACAGAATGATGTGTGGTGTCTAACTCTCCTCTCTCTCTCCTGACAGAATGCTGTGTGGTGTCTAACTCTGCTCTCTCTCTCCTGACAGAATGATGTGTGGTGTCTTAACTCGGCTCTCTCTCTCCTGACAGAATGATGTGTGGTGTCTTAACTCTGCTCTCTCTCTCTCCTGACAGAATGATGTGTGGTGTCTAACTCTGCTCTCTCTCTCCTGACAGAATGATGTGTGGTGTCTAACTCTCCTCTCTCTCCTGACAGAATGATGTGTGGTGTCTTAACTCTGCTCTCTCTCTCTCCTGACAGAATGATGTGTGGTGTCTAACTCTGCTCTCTCTCTCTCCTGACAGAATGATGTGGTGTCTAACTCTGCTCTCTCTCCTGACAGAATGATGTGTGGTGTCTAACTCTCCTCTCTCTCTCTCCTGACAGAATGATGTGTGGTGTCTAACTCTGCTCTCTCTCTCTCCTGACAGAATGATGTGTGGTGTCTAACTCTCCTCTCCTGACAGAATGCTGTGTGGTGTCTAACTCTCCTCTCTCTCCTGACAGAATGATGTGTGGTGTCTTAACTCTGCTCTCTCTCCTGACAGAATGATGTGTGGTGTCTAACTCTGCTCTCTCTCTCTCCTGACAGAATGATGTGTGGTGTCTTAACTCTGCTCTCTCCTCTCCTGACAGAATGCTGTGTGGTGTCTAACTCTGCTCTCTCTCTCCTGACAGAATGATGTGTGGTGTCTAACTCTCCTCTCTCTCCTGACAGAATGATGTGTGGTGTCTTAACTCTGCTCTCTCTCTCTCCTGACAGAATGATGTGTGGTGTCTAACTCTGCTCTCTCTCCTGACAGAATGATGTGTGGTGTCTTAACTCTGCTCTCTCTCTCTCCTGACAGAATGATGTGTGGTGTCTAACTCTCCTCTCTCTCTCCTGACAGAATGATGTGTGGTGTCTAACTCTCCTCTCTCTCTCCTGACAGAATGATGTGTGGTGTCTTAACTCTGCTCTCTCTCCTGACAGAATGCTGTGTGGTGTCTAACTCTCCTCTCTCTCTCCTGACAGAATGATGTGTGGTGTCTAACTCTCCTCTCTCTCTCCTGACAGAATGATGTGTGGTGTCTTAACTCTGCTCTCTCTCCTGACAGAATGATGTGTGGTGTCTAACTCTCCTCTCTCTCTCCTGACAGAATGATGTGTGGTGTCTAACTCTGCTCTCTCTCTCTCCTGACAGAATGCTGTGTGGTGTCTAACTCTCCTCTCTCTCCTGACAGAATGCTGTGTGGTGTCTAACTCCGCTCTCTCTCTCTCCTGACAGAATGATGTGTGGTGTCTAACTCCGCTCTCTCTCTCTCCTGACAGAATGATGTGTGGTGTCTAACTCTCCTCTCTCTCTCCTGACAGAATGATGTGTGGTGTCTAACTCTCCTCTCTCTCTCCTGACAGAATGATGTGTGGTGTCTAACTCTCCTCTCTCTCTCCTGACAGAATGATGTGTGGTGTCTTAACTCTCCTCTCTCTCCTGACAGAATGATGTTGTGGTGGTCTAACTCTGCTCTCTTCTCTCTCCTGACAGAATGATGTGTGGTGTCTAACTCTGCTCTCTCTCCTGACAGAATGATGTGTGGTGTCTAACTCTGCTCTCTCTCTCTCCTGACAGAATGCTGTGTGGTGTCTAACTCTGCTCTCTCTCTCCTGACAGAATGATGTGTGGTGTCTAACTCTGCTCTCTCTCTCTCCTGACAGAATGATGTGTGGTGTCTAACTCTGCTCTCTCTCTCTCCTGACAGAATGCTGTGTGGTGTCTAACTCTGCTCTCTCCTGACAGAATGATGTGTGGTGTCTAACTCTGCTCTCTCCTGACAGAATGATGTGTGGTGTCTAACTCTGCTCTCTCCTGACAGAATGATGTGTGGTGTCTAACTCTGCTCTCTCCTGACCAGAATGATGTGTGGTTGTCTAACTTCTGCTTTACAGAATGCTGTGTGGTGTCTAACTCTCCTCTCTTCCTGACAGAATGATGTGTGGTGTCTTAACTCTGCTCTCTCTCCTGACAGAATGATGTGTGGTGTCTAACTCTGCTCTCTCTCTCTCCTGACAGAATGATGTGTGGTGTCTAACTCTCCTCTCCTGACAGAATGATGTGTGGTGTCTAACTCTCCTCTCTCTCTCTCCTGACAGAATGATGTGTGGTGTCTAACTCTGCTCTCTCTCTCCTGACAGAATGATGTGTGGTGTCTAACTCTCCTCTCTCTCTCTCCTGACAGAATGATGTGGTGTCTAACTCTGCTCTCTCTCCTGACAGAATGATGTGTGGTGTCTAACTCTCCTCTCTCTCTCTCCTGACAGAATGATGTGTGGTGTCTAACTCTCCTCTCCTGACAGAATGCTGTGTGGTGTCTAACTCTCCTCTCTCTCCTGACAGAATGATGTGTGGTGTCTTAACTCTGCTCTCTCTCCTGACAGAATGATGTGTGGTGTCTAACTCTGCTCCTCTCTCTCCTGACAGAATGATTGTGTGGTGGCTAACTCTCCTCTCCTGACAGAATGATGTGTGGTGTCTAACTCTCCTCTCTCTCTCTCCTGACAGAATGATGTGTGGTGTCTAACTCTGCTCTCTCTCTCCTGACA